CGGTACGCTGGCAGGTAAAGTGTCTCCCCTTGTTTTCTAACCAGAACAGAGACTGGCCTTTGATGTCTCCTGGTTCCTGGTTCCTATGTTTCACCAACTTGCCCACTTCCTCCTCCCCTTTTCTTTGTTTCTGGGATTGTTTTAATGCGGGATTTGGGCGACGGGCCACGGGGCGTCGCTGTCTTTGTTTGTCAATTGCTCTCGGCTCGACGATTTTTTAAAAAAAGAAAAAAACGGAGCGCCACGACTCGGCAACTTCATCGCACACTTCGGTCGCTTGATGATGTGTGTCTTTTATGTCTGTTCGCGACGCAACTTCGGGGAAAAAAAACTTCTAGCGGCAAAGGGACAGAAAATTATGCGCTGTAATTCGGTTATCTCAGGGTCAGCAAATTCGTCACACAGCTACAGCTACAACTTCACCTCTACACCATCTCCAGTAACGGCTCGATTGTATTCGACTTCTCTAAACAACTGAATGATCAACCATTCGCCCAATTCAAAGCCGTCGACTTTGCGCTTGTAGTTTCAACCTTTTAAACCCCTGGCATTAATCAATTTTGGATATTGACAATGCCATTAAAGGTGAGGTGTGTTTCGCAAGGCTGACCTATCTAGGTTTTTTTTTTGGGAATCCTCTGTTCTTCCCCGAATATTCGGTCGGGGTATGACATACTTGTACTTATTCTATTTAGGAATCTTTTTGAAGTTCCAAACTTGCATCTATATCCATGGATATCAGCTTCCATATTTCGATGGTTCTATGAGCCATCTACAAGAGCTTCGCTCGGTCCGGGGCTCTGGCATGAAATCCACGCTACCTTGAAGGCTGTGAGACCCCGATGTCCCTTTGTGAGTCGCCACTTACCCAAGCCACTCTTTGTCCTCGAATCCATGGCTGTGGGTTTTCTTTGGTCTATGAAACTTGGATTTTTAACAAAGAATATTACATACTCGATCCACCAGGACATTTCTGTCCCTGGCTGCCCTGGTATCTATATATCCTTTTACAAATACCTAGGTATAGTTAGCCGCTTATGTATGCTCTGTCATTAAGGACATAGGAGTCGAATAATTTGACCTATTTGAGATGGCATTGGGATATTCTACTCAACGTCACACCACACTGCTTTCTCCCCGTACATTGTTTTATACACTCTACTTCCCTATATATAAACATGCAGGTAGGTACATTCTCAATTCCAGTAGTTTCACCCATTAGGTAGGGGATCATCGCCTTGATTTTAACGCATTATTCTCATTGTCTTTCTTCTCTAATATCCTTCAAGCCCTACTAACAAGACAGTGTAGACATTGACCGGGGTATCAAATGGTGAACGTCTTAGCGTACATCAAAGTCCACTGACAAGCTTTTCTTTGTGAAGCCAAAAGCAAAGGGAAAAAAAATCAAAAAAACAATCACAGAACAGCCTATCAAGCACCATTAAACGCCCAAGAAATCCCGCCCCATTTTGTCTCTACTCCGACTCCTTCTTAGTTTCGCCCTCCACTTCATTACTCTTCTGAAGCAAGAACTCGCCGAGCACACGGAGAGGGTTGGCAGGCCTAGCGCAAAAAGAGAAAAGTAAACAGATCAGTAAAACCATCCAGCAGACCGGTATAGAAAAAAGCTAGCTAGCCATATTATTCCACTCACTGTTCGCGCGCAACAGATTTCATTCCGTCAAGCAAATACGGCACAACCTTCTCATTGAGATAGACGCGCGCAGGTGCGCCACCAGGGCGAATCTGGCCCGCAGAGACATTGCCCAGATCGCCAAGCGGCGTGTTGGAACCAGTGCCGTTTGTTTCGCCCATTGTGGATGTGGGTTTCGGTTGGGGGCCTGTGGTGGACGTAGGAGCTGAGGAGGCGGGTGGATCTGATATCGCAAGGGTAGGAGGCTGCACAGGTTAATTGATAGCCTGGGAGGTGTATCTTTTGGGAAGTGGGAGTCGCAACGGTGGAATCGGCGAATGTTTGCGGAGCGGAAGCTGTGGAGCTCGGAGGTGTCGATCGGTGAGGGAGGGAGAGCTGGAGCTTACTGGTAAGGTCATTTTTATATCTAGAGATTGCACTTAGGGGCTTTTTGAATGGTATTCAGATGGCATTTCTTTCTTTCTCTTTCACCATCTGTCTTTGTTTAGATCCTTGATCTTATGCGTTTGCCTATGCCTCTTTGTCTATGTCATATGCAAACAGGGCAAACAGCTCAATGGAGTTATATCGAACACGTGATCTCGTGTTTGAAACCTGTTCGCGAGACACGTCGCTCGTGTCTGCCTATACTCGGAGACTCGAGTCATTGGGATTAATTGCATCCATGGACACGAGAGATCATGTCCTTGTTGAACTTTTGGGACATGCAACGTCCCGCGAAACGTCGGCGGACGTTCGAAAGAGAGGATTCTAGTACAGACGCAGAGACTAAACCACCACCGAGTCCGAGTCCTTCGGTCACAGCGGGGGAGCTCCCCGCAGCGGATGATTTAGGGATAATTACCAACAGCCAGACAGAACTCGAGACTTCCCTTCCTGCGATCAAGACCGACGAGGATGCAATTGAGGAGTACGAGGCGTTACAGAATGACAAACAGACAAGATTACATGTGAGGCTACGAGATGGTGCCTGGCAGAAAGGCAAGAGCTCCATCTATGTGGATGCATTCAACCTGGCACTGGAAACTGTACTGGACGAGGAATCGCATCTCTTTAATGAGGCCGAAAAGGAAATCTTTACCCAGTGGCGGGAGCTGTCCTACGAATCCCAGTATTTGTATGTCTTGTAGAATGGGATGAGATATGCTTGAGATTAATTTTCGACCAGGTATGTTCGACTATTCCTCCGCAAGACCTCTGCCTGGCACCGTATCAACCGGTTGAACTACTACTCCGACATCTCGGATTTATTCTCTGTCGCCGAGGACCTACAGCGGGACCGGAACCTGCCTGATCCAGAGCTCGGAAATAAGTTTAGATTTGCAGAAGGCATAGAAGCGATCACAACGCTGGAAGAGGCTTCATCGCTTCTACTGCTGGAGGAACTCAAGGTCTTTGCAAAGGAGGCCAGGGTTCAGGGCAAGAGCAAGAAAGAGCTGCTAGCGGCTCTTCGTGAAACGAGCCAGACACAAACAGGACTCAAAGATACGAATAACAGAGACGGCCATTTTACCCAGAAGATATTGGACTACACGGGTGGATGTATTAGGATCTCGCCAGTACCTCGCACTCTCTTTGAGCGAGTGCACCTGGTATTCTATCGTTCCACTGAGTGGAGCGAGAAGTCCCTCACAACAATTATCCTAGCCAAAATGACGAAAAGAAACTTTCCCGAATATATCGTCTGCCGCTCGAATTCCATCTTCTCATCCAGAGAAGCGCTACTGGAATTCGAATCAGCGATACAAACCCAATTCGCCATCGACAACATCCTTGAATCCAACGGCCCAGTCACGACTGAATCCCTTCAACAGATCATAGACCTTGCCAAAAAGTCCTATCCCCGATGGAAAGAGCTAGTCGAGCAAGAACAAAAGAAAGAAGACAGCATCTACGAAAGCGGCGAAGGCGCATATCTACGCCGCTTCTCGCCAGCATGGGTACTCACAAGAATCATCCACAAGAGTCTGTACCCTCTCGGGCGATTCAAGGAACATAAACGCGAGCACGAAGTGCTAGAGGAACTTCTCGCCCAACGTCTTTTCCACGCTGCGCGGCGCGGTGCGTGGTATCAACGCAAGGCACTGTTGGAAGAACACTACATGTGGGCGCTTACGCCTACAGATGGCCGCAGCGAAGAAGCCCAGCGCAAGCATTGGAAGAGACTTGCACTGCGGACGTGCGAGGCCGGACTTGAAGACCCGCTGTGCCATCTGATCTTTCATTATGACTTACAGAAGCGGATCACGAAACTGGAAAAAGCGCTTCGGGTGGTGAAACGCGAGCAGCATGATTTCGGACACGTCATGCTAGGCAAGCCCGCTGAGCGGACGATTGAGGGTATCCGTATTGATACGGGTGATACTCCGCGGAAGGGAAAAGCGACTATTTGGGTTGATGAGAGAGAAGGCGGCGAGTGTAGGGTGGAGAGTATGTGTTTAAGTTGGTACCGTGATCATGGATGGAAGGGATATCACTCTGAGGGGGTATTGTGCGGACGCTGGTGAGTCTTACCGCATACAAAGCAGCTATGGAATATCCTCGAATATAGACCCGACTCTAATCTCGAACACAGTTCGGCTACCTCTTCTACGATATCCTGTTCACATACGTCCCCAATGTCTTCCAGACTGCGTTTCAGACGTGCCCGCTCGATCTCCACACTGATGTCTTCTACCCGTCTCGTGCATCGGAGATCAACCATCGGCTGGTTGAGATCACGAATGGGGATGCGGAGCGGATCATCCGTGAGATCCATAATCGTGAGGCTGGGGCGCAGCCCTGTGCTATTGGACTTGATTGGTCTTTCGACCTAGATGACTTGGTTGAAATTGTGCAGTGTTTCCGGGGAGAGGCACTTGCTACCATCTGCAAGGTTATGGCGCAAGAGTACCAACAGCGCGGTGGGGGAATCCCGGACTTGTTTCTCTGGAACTATGAAACGAGGACGGTGATGTTTGCTGAGGTTAAATCCGAGAATGATCGGCTAAGTGATACTCAGCGCCTTTGGATCCATATTTTAGTGGGAGCTGGTGTTAAAGTTGAGCTTTGCAATGCTGTGGCGAGGGAGGTTAGAGCTGAGTGCGATGTGTAAGTAACGTCCAGGAAATATGTCTGCTTAAAGTTGTACATATAGCATAACCTTATTTGCTGGCGCTCCAAATTACCACATGGGTCAAATAGTAGCTAGTATGTTAATGATCGAGACCAGTTCAACATCCTACTTGAATACCCACTTTATATTGACAGGCTAGCGATCATTTGATGTCACAAATTATCCATATGGACATCTACTAGCCAGACCTACAACTACCAAAGAACTCTAGAGCACTCTTGAACAGGGTATCAAATAATCGTAATCTTTTTTGTTGTATCTAGCAGGAGATAGACCCTTCAGATACGACGATCACGACGATCCGATGGGTTCCCTCCGTCAACCACTCATCCTCCCAAAATGCGCTTATGCGACAAGGGTGGAGGCAGTGGCGCTCTCGTAGCGCCAGGTGGGGGCAGGACACCGACGGTCTTGTAGTAACGAGACAGACGGTGGATGCGGGACTCGATCAGAATCAGGCGGAACTTGGAGTCCTTGTCCTTGCGGTTACGCTCAAGGTGCTTGCGGACAGCGACGGCCTGGATGATTCGAGGTTAGCATAATCTGCAGGGATAGAGATAATGGAAAAGTGGGAGAAAAAGTTTTTACCTTCTTGATCAGGAAGTAAAGGTCCTCGGGGAGTTCGGGAGCGAGGCCTGTATTCCAAAATCTCTCTGTCAGTCTAGATGTTCTTGACCAAGCAGAGGCTTAATTGCTGGTGCATTTCTGCTAACCAGTGTTGGGGAGAGAGACGAGCATTTGGCGCTTCGAAGCCAATGGTTCTTTTACCGAACCAAAAAGGCTTGTCCACACAAATTTTTCGCTCTCTTCACCCAACGGATGTGATTATGTGGGCGGAGGGAGTCGTACCGCTGGACTTCAAGATACGGAGGATCTTGTTACCTGCGCGAAAAAAATGTTAGAAAATTTCGATCCTCAAATTCGTAGAGTCGCAGTTCTCCGGATTTCCATACCAGTAACAATCTTGACCTGGGCAACACCGTGGGAGTCACGGAGGACAACACCGATCTGGGAAGGAGTGGCACCCTTCTTGGCCAGCTTGCAGATGTGGTCGACAACCTGGTCGGGGGTGGTCTTGAGCCACGCGGGGGCGGCGCGGGAGTAGGGGATGGCGGAAGAGGCAATGCCCTTGCCCTTGCTGTGAAGACGACCCATTTTGGATTGGTGATGTGTCCGGCGGAGGAAATCTGGTCGGTTGTCGGCGTGGATGAAAGATCGAAAATCGAGAAGTGAGAGGGTGTGAGTGTGGACGGGAAAGATGGGGCCTGTGTGGGGTCACGTGATAGACTTCGCTTATTTCTTTTCTTCGACAAAACTTCACTTCGTTTCCCTTAAAATTCTGTTCCAACTTCAACAACCAACAATCTCAATTTCACACTTGAGTTGACTGGAATTAATGTTTTCTGGTTCGACTTGAGTGCAAGTTGTATTGTATTCCCTCGACACGCCTTTCATCCGATCGCCACCATCAATATCAGGTCAGTTCCAGCTCTTTTTGCTCAATTTCCAACCTTCCCACATGATGATACAACGCATTTGTTTTTACTTTATTTTCTGGTACCTCTTATGTCAGAGTTAGTGTTTTCGGATGCTAGCTCGATGATCTACCTGGACTTCTGATCTACTTTCTTCAACTTCAACACTTCTGTTATGAGTTGCTCGACCGTTATACTAACTACGGTTATAGACATTGATCGTTCATATAGCTAAGATTACTGAATACAATATACATGTTTATCGGACTAGACCCATATCTTCATCGTACATGACGTGACAAATTAGATGTACAGATTTTTTTTCTTAACTAAAAGTATGTAGTAGTCAAAATGGCCCTTGGTCTCTGATAGCCTCAGCGCCTTAGTCGTTTGGACATTCTCCGTGTCTCTGTTGTTTGAGCAACAGAAACGATGTTCTCGACTTCCTTTCGCTTCCTGCTGATGGGCTTCTTGGCATCCTCTATGCCCTCGACCTTGACTTTCATATCGATGTCTTCCTCCTTAGGAACTTTCAAATCGAGAGCAGTTGTCACTTTTGTCTCGACCTTGATATCAGCCTCTTCGTCTTTCACTTTCACATTGACCTTCTTGGTTGCAGCAAGTTTGTCTGCAAATGTCCGCAGGTCTGCAGTGAAAAGCACACTATGAGCCCATCCAGCTTCCTTGCCCCAAAGCTTGCGGAAATGATTGGCAACAGCATCGTAAGTCGTCTTGTTCAAGTTCTTATTGGAGCTTTTTCCAAATCGGTAGTCTCGCTGTGCGATTTGCCACACTGTCGTAAAGGATTAGAGATAAACCAGAAACATTATCCAAAGGAACTCACCGTGAGTATCAACCGGCACAGACTCTCCCCAGCCTAGCCCCATTAAACTAACACAGTCTGACACTTTGGGCCCAACTCCCTGTAGCTCAAGGAGCTTTTCATGGGCTTCACGATATCCCTCTCGCCCTTCTGGTTTCATTTCGCCGCTGGGTCTAGGATCCACACCAAATGCTGGACACTCGGGGTTGCTCAGACTGTCTAGCCAGCCCTGATCTCGGTTGGATACCATAACTGCAGTTTGATATATGTATTTAGCACGGTATCCAAACCCTAACTTGCGTAGGTTGCTTTCCACATCCGTGCCAGTTAATGCACTTGGGGGAGGGAAATCATGATATGCACGCCCTTCAATTGTAGCCACAGATTTTCCATAATGTATGCATAATTTCTCTACCATTTGAGAGATTCGTGCAATATTATTGTTGCTGCTGCAGATAAATGATACCAGTGCTTCCCACGCATCTTGTCGAAGGATCCTAATCCCAGTGAATTGGGCGGCCTTTTTCTTGAAGTTTGGGTCTTGTGATGACCATTGGGAGTAGAGTTCGGTCAAATTTGGTGTCAGGTTGAAGTAATGTTTGATAATGCGGATGAGATGGTCATTGTCGGAGGTTGTTGGTGTGAATGTATCGGAAGGTGATTGCACGGATCTATAGTACAAGAAATTGGAGTCTTGCTTCAACGATAGAAGATGGCCGTATAGAACGCATCGCCATTCCTGGGATTCTGAGATGTTCTGCCATCTAAAAAGGGTCAGTTGTTTGGTCTGCACCCTCCGGGCCCGAAAACTTGGGCGACAAACCTAAAAGACTGGCCACATCTGAGGGTAGTATTGATGCAAAGTTCACTCAAGCTCAAAGGCAGCTTCCGCCATTCGGACAAAGCACCTGCAGACATTTTTGAAACTCAAAAGATCGTAATTCGAGACAGCGGAGTCGCTGTCCCCATGTTTGCTTTTCTGCCAATATCTTAATCGATGCTGGGGCGGTGAGGGTACCACCGCCTGCAGCTCCGGGTCATGAGTTTTCCCCTTCACTGGCGACAGAGCTTCATTTCCTCAACCAACTTCAAGATGAACGGCGACACCTACTCATCTAGGGGTAAGCGTCCTTACAATTACTTCTTGATATAACTGCTAATATCTCTTAGACACTGGACGTTCCCGCGATTACTTCGTAAGTACCAGCCAATCTTTGGTCGCAACCGCGGCGATTAACCCCAATTCTAGCGCGACGAGCGACGTGATCGAGACCGAGGCGACAGAACCGAACGCGGAGCTGACAGAGCTGCCGACCGAGGTGCTGAACGTGGTTCCGAACGAGGAACCGAGCGTGGAGCTGAACGGGGCGATCGGAGTGATCGAGGTGAACGACGCCGATCGCGTTCGCCTCATCATGGGTCCCGAGGTGACTCTCGTCGGGAGCGCGAAGTGAACTCATACTCAACCAGCCGTGACTACCGTGCCCGTGAGCGCGAAGACCGTTACTCTGGCCGCCGTGATGATCGAGATTGGGACCGTGGCGACCGTGCCGAGCGTGGGGGTGGTGACCGCGGTGGTGGTGACCGGGGCGATCGTCGCCGACGTGACTTTGACGACAGACCTCGCCGCGACCTGTTTGATGACCGACGCGGCGGCGGACGTGGTGGCGGAGACCGTGGTGATCGCGGAGACCGTGGAGACCGTGAGAGAAGAGAGCGCAAGCGAAGCGCCACACCCCCCGCGGCGCAAGGAGCCTACTCCTGATCTGACAGATGTCCCCTCGGTGTTGACCCGCAAGCGTCGTTTGACTCAATGGGATATGAAGCCTCCTGGTTACGAGAATGTTACTGCTGAGCAGGCAAAGATCTCAGGTATGTATTTGAAACTCATGAGCCAGTGGAATTGTCTAACATTATTAGGAATGTTCCCTCTTCCCGGAGCTCCTCGCCAGCAGCCGATGGACCCCAGCCGCATGAAGGACTTCCTGAACCCCCTACTGGCGATAGTGAGAACGCTGCCCTCAAGCCCTCCAACTCTCGCCAATCAAAGCGCCTTTTCGTTTACAACATCCCGCCCGGTGTCTCAGGCGATGCCGTTATTTCCTTCTTCAATCTTCAGTTGAATGGTCTCAATGTTATTCACAATGTCGACCCCTGCATCTCAGCCCAAGTTTCGGAAGATAAATCATTTGCACTTCTGGAGTTCAAGGATCCAAATGATGCTACAGTTGCATTGGCATTTGATGGAATTACCATGGCGGAGAGTGGAGACAAGGGACTTGAAGTGCGACGACCAAAGGACTACATTGTCCCCGACGGCAGCGCATCTCAACCAGTGCAACCAGATGTTGTTCTGACTGAGGTTCCCGACTCACCCAACAAGATCTGTATCTCTAATATTCCCACCTACATCAACGAGGAAGCTATTATCATGCTGCTCAAGTCATTCGGTGATCTTAAGTCATTTGTCTTGGTCAAGGATGCTGCTACAGAGGAGTCTCGGGTAAGTTTGAGCATCACCCCACTGTCCAATGTTTTGCAACTAACCTTTCCAGGGAATTGCCTTTTATGAATACGTCGACCCGAACAACACTGCTCTGGCCGTCGAAGGCTTGAACGGCATGGAGCTTGCCGACCGTCACCTCAAGTTTGTTCGCGCTAGTATTGGAACCACACAGGCCTCTGGTCTTGACATGGGCGTGAATGCCATGCAAATGTTTGCCAAGACTACCTCCCAGGATCTCGAGACCACCCAGGTCTTGCAGCTTCTCAACATGGTCACGCTTGATGAGCTTCTCAATGACGAAGATTACGAAGAAATCATGGAGGATGTGAGCGAGGAATGCTCCAAGTTCGGAAAGATTCTCTCAGTGAAGATTCCCCGCCGTGGACACGGCGCTGGCAAGATCTTCATTAAGTACGATAGCGCTGAATCTGCCACCAACGCTCTCAAGGCGCTGGCGGGTCGCAAGTTCTCTGACCGTACAGTCGTTGCTTCGTACTTCGGGGTTGAGAACTTCGACACCGAGGCCTGGTAAACCGGGGTTAATGCTGTTCATTTTCCATTCCTTATTTCCCTTGATGCAGGCGTGTTCTTTCTTTCTTTTTTCTCGGGACCATTCGCTTTTGGAGCAGGTAGGTCCCACATGTGTACCATAACAAAAATGCTCACATCATCGGTCAATTGAAATGCTCACTGAAGCTTTAGTTCCTTTCCCGTACAACTATGATTCTCAGAGGGTCAGAATAGGTGTTAATAAAAATGGAGAAGACGAATGTCAGTACGAGCTGTCTCAGTTGACCTGTTCTAGGGTGTCTAGAGTGCCTCTGCCGGTCTTAATAAGCATGTTGTCTGTGTATTTCTCTGTTTTTTTTTTTTGCAACACGCTGTAGAATAAGCACCTCAATGAATACATGATACCACCCCTTATAGCATAAAAGAAGAAGGACAAGTCCACTTTTGCGGCGACAAGTCTCCAACATGCTAGTAGTTCCCCGCGCGTTAGCCTCGTCGTCCCTTCATACAGCCCTACGTTATCTTGTAATGTATCCTATAAGCAAATGGCATGTAACATGTAAAATATGCACCAAAAAAAGATGATTCCGGGTAGTGATTGAATGAGCTCTGTCCGTCTTTAAGACCATTCAAAGAAAGCGGGACTCTGCGCACCCAGATAGGCAAGAATAACGCTGAGAAGATGGCACAGGCGTTTACCGCTCCGCCATATCTACTGCGGCGGGATAAAGAGCATTGACGTTATGCTTAAACCACGTGACTCATATAACCCTCTACAGCATGAAAATTCCGCTGGTATGGATTAGCCTGGAAGATCGAAAGAAAGAAGCAATAGAATATTTTTGCAGTGGAAAATGGAAGCCTAGAAGCCCGGTTCTTGGCTACAAGCTATTTTAGCGGTTTGAAGGAACGCAACCGCATAGTTTTTGCCTTGGGTCCGAACCCGAACCCGAGGCGAAGATCCTGCAGATCAAGAAGGCTGACACGTTGTACGGTATGTTATAGGTGCAATGCTTGATTGCTTACCAACTATGACCCCTGGGTCCAATCTTAGATCTTAGTTTTATGTATATTTGAGGATTTGTGGGTCTTCTGCCCTGGTCTGGAGCTGATATCGAGCTTGGTACTTGTGCTTGGCATTTGTGCTTGGCAGGCGGAAATAGTCACTATGCATGGAGTAAAAGGGTTCAGCATCGTATTCGGTTCTATACTTCGGGAGCCTAATCTACAACCTAAATTTGTCCTTGTATCATCAAGAGTCGAAGGTATATATAAAGGATGTAGAGCAAGGCCACAAGAATACATTAGAGATCAAGAATCACAATTTCCAAGGCCAATTGCATTGCATTTCAGAAACTCATACTACTCGGAAATATCAACAATGTCAACAATATCAAAGATGTCAAAAATGGCCCTCTTCCATTCGCGTCACAAGTTCAAGGTTCATTTGGTGCAAATGTTTTTGGCAGTCGTTATTATCGCCCTTTCCGCCGCCCGAATCTTCCTTTCGGGGCAAAAAACCAGGACTCGAGCTAGTACCATGGGATTAGGAATGGTAAGAGTCAACCATGCTATGCAAGGCGGCACATACAAAAGTTCAATCTGACGCAAAATATGGAATATAGGGTGCCAAATCACTGGTCATCATCCTTTACCAGCTCCTGACGGAACACGTTTCTCGCCTCCAGCGATGGGCGAGCCTAAAAGCATACCTTATTCTGAATGCGCTGGAGATAGTCTTTTGGGGCGCTGTGGCGTTCCTCGTCTTACAGGCAAATCTCCAGGTGTGTGTGGGTACAGGTTGTGCCCTGGGATGGGTGGTGATCGTGTTATCCGTAAACATGAAGTGAGCAAACTCAAGACCACGGGGAAACCCTAATAATAAATCAGAAAAACTTTACTGACATGAGAAAATTTAGTATTCTTTCGGTCTATACGACTATCGTTTCCTACCTGGACTATCGATACTATAAGGCCAAGGGCCACCATCGGGGTTCTACTGTGAAAGAGGAACTCCCGCTACATAGCAGGAATGAGAGTGACTCAAGTGTCTGATGATGAAATATATCAATTATACTGATAGCCTACTGTTTTGCCCAACCTTTTTATTCTTTTGTCAGTCTTAATTCAAACATCTTAGCCAAAGTCAGGTATTGAAGCATTTGTATCTACTAAAAACGGGGGTTTTGACCCTTATTCTATAACCTCTCTGTATTTAATTTGTATCGCTATAGCCACATTGCTGCTTCTAGTATCCAAGAAAAGCAGTATCGTTCTCGACTACCAAATCATTAAACTCCCCTCTCAATTGAAGTCTGTCGGTATTCAGGCGCTGCAAAACTTTATGAAGGCCTCTGATAGATCCTGCAAGTATAGGTAGAAATATTCCTCGCGAATGCTCGATTTGTGGCCTTTCAAGGTAAAGGCTGTTAAATACATCGATGGCAAACTCAATGTCAGATACACCAAGCCCATTTGTGTACTTACCTTCGCGGACCGCATTCTCAAGTGGTATATTGTTTAGAAAGTGAGATATTGCAATCTCCGTATAATCCTTCAACATTCCTATAATTGCTCTGTTAGTGCACAAGCTCTTTATGGGGGTCACCAGGAGATGTCTCTTCAATTTGACCGCAGATAAACTTTAGGGGGTAATGACACCCCTTCCAATGAGAGCCTTTACCAGGCCCTCTATAATGAGATGTTGGAGATAGTGGCTGAAAGTCACTGAAGGATGTTGCAAAGTATGGTAGTAACGTAGTTACGAAGTGTGCATTGGTCAAGCGGATTTCGAGAATGACTGTAACACTCTGCTATTTATATATATATACATTGCCATACCATGTAGTCTTTCAATTACCACTATTCTATTGCTTCGGGCCCTCGAATTTATATAACATAATTCAACATTTTATATACTGCTACGCTACAATATATATAATGGGGAGAATTTCCCCATCTTCCCTTATTTCTCTCCCCTTTCTCAATTAATTGGCCTGATGATATCATTGTCGATCCAATTAATATGGACAAACACCAAGTACAAGGAGAATACCCCGGTACGTGCAGACTCGAGGGCAGGTAATGTCTGTTACCTACTTTGTACACAAGCTACCGTATACATCTGAAACTTAAATTATACTGTCTACCATTTACCTGAACTGTAAAGTCTAAAGCTGAAGCGCTGAATTGACTAACACACGGACAGGCGGCGAACAAACAACCAAATGTCCCAAACACTAAGAAAATAAACGAAATGAGCGGGTAATAGGGCACACAGAAAAAGCGGCAAGACAAGATATGGCGTAGCAAAAAGTACATCACAAGAAGTGAAAGGTCCCAGGCTGACCCTCGCAGGATCGTATTATCAATCAATCGGTAAGAAAAAAAAACACCATTCTTTTTTCGGTGCGCGGGCCCATCCAGTGAGAAAGCAGTTGCGTTATGGGATGGTGAGGGAGTGTGATGGGTGACAAGTGTAAGGAAAAAAAAGGGAACGAGAGTGGGATCAGTTAGTTGCCAGAAGTATAGGCAGAGGCAAAAGCAATGGGAGGGACATGGACATTAGCGAAGCGAGAAACCCTTTCGCTTGCCCTTCTCTTCGACGGGGCGTCCGGTCTCGAGGCGACCCTTCTTGTCCTCGAGTTCTCCGCGTTGGCGATCTAGCTGATCCTTCATCTCGCGATGCCGGGCATAGAGTTCGTCTTCGCTCTGTTTGAGCTTGCTTTCTTTTTCCGCGACCTTCTGCTGGAAGACCATCTTCATTTCGGCTTCCATCTTGGCCAGCTTCTGCTCGTGCAGAGCGCGCTCCTCCTCCTGCTTGACGGCAGGGTTGACCTCCTTGAAGACGCTGGGGTCCTGGGCAACACCCATCAGGGTGAGCTTGTCGGACCGGTAGTTCTCGTACAGGAAGTTGTTGGTGTGCTCCTTGAGCTCCTCCATGTGGGTGCGGATCAGCATTTGGCGCAGCTTGACAAAGTCGCAGTGCTCCTCGTTGTCGACCTCGATGATACCCCAGGGGTAGCTACGGCCACGGACGCGACGACCGTCAGCAGTGGTCACCTCGGAGTTGGCACCAACAACGGCGAAGGGAACCTTGGACATGATCTCCTGGTTCTCAGCAATGGTCTCCTCATCGTCAAGCTCGTATCGGGGGCCTTCGAAGATCTGGAGGGAGTGTTGTTCGATATCGGCAAGGATCTAGAAGAGTCAGTATCCACAATTTCAATCGAATGTAAAAAGGGGATTCCAAAAACATACACGCTGCTTGAAAAGGGCGACTTCCTCGTCGGTCAATGTATCGGCCTTGGCAATGACGGGGATCAGGTTGACCTTGGTGTGCAGGCGGCGCATCACCTCGATGTCCAGGGGCTTCAGGGAGTGGCCGGTAGGCTGGATGAAGTAAACACAGGCGTGGATGCGGTTGTCGACAATGTTGCTGCGGTTGACCTTGTTCTCGGCCTCCAGGTAGGTGTCGTAGCGCTGCTCGATGTTCTCGACAATTGGGCGCCAGGAGTCATCGTTGTTGACAAAGTCACCGAAGCCGGGGGTATCAATCACACTTAGGCGGAGACGTACTCCGTTCTCCTCAATGTCGGCGCTGGTCGACTGGATAGACACGGTCTTGGGGATAATATCGGCATTAGGACCGGTGCGCTCCTTCGGGGGTAGAGCGAGGTGTTGAACAGGGTGTTCACGAGGGTGGACTTTCCGAGACCAGATTCACCTGGTGGATATGAGCATAGTTCATCGAATTTTATCGCCCGTCTAACTTACCGACAACCATGACATTGAAGTTGAAGCCCTTGCGGACACTCTTGCGGTGCCACTGGTTGGGCAGGTTGGCGAAACCGACGTAGCCAGTCAGCTTGCGGCGGACGACGTTCTTCATGTCAGTAGCGGCCTGAGCTGCGGCCTTGGGGTCGCGGGAGCTGACGGTTTGGGCGATGCCGGAGCCCATGGGGTTGCTGCGTTCGACAAAAGGCGACTCCAGGCCGTTGTTGGGAGAGGCAGAGTCCCGGGACGCGACCGGAGACGCGACGGGGGAGCTGCTCGCAGGTGGTGAAGCTTCAAACTTATCAGCGTCTTGTCTGGGGAAGTGCCTCGAGATTGTTTGTCTCCTGATCACCGGGTGGGATAGCTTACACATTGCGAAAGCCTGGGATTTAGGATATGTAAAACCGTGAATTAAGATCCCCTAGATGATGAATGTCGTCAGTTGCCTTTCCTAATCTTCAGTGGGGTCGAATTGTTCGCGATAGGAGAAAAAAAAATTGGGGAGCAGGGGGGGATGTACCTGGAATCGTTCTTTCCAAAAAAAGGGGGGCCGGAGTAAATTGGCCAGAAGCGAGAGACGAGGAAAAGAAAAGAAGAGGAGAAGGAAGAAAATGAAACGAAAGAAGAGGAAGAGGATGGAGAGAAGGAGGTTGACTCTGCCAGTCTGGGAAAGAAAGGGGGAGGTTGTCGGGGGGGGCCCAGCTATTCTGGAGTTGGTTTGGATCGACCCGCGTAGAAACACCTGATGTGTTCAACTATGTACATGTATACAATTTTGAATTTGGACTGATCGTTTATCTATGATATATTTAATCTATATACCTATTACATCTGATTGATTTTATTTTTCCTTTTCCCTTTCTTTGTTTTAATTGATCCTATTTCATCTATATTCCGGGTCTTTTCTACTTTATTTACTTTGTACATCCGTAAAGGTAAATTGCTCGTGATTGTAGCTTGCATGGCTCTAAGTAATAGGACTGCAGTTTTATTTCGAACTAGAAAGATGGAATTTCCTATTGGCAATGGATTTTGCTTGGAAGTTACCCTCGTTTACATGCATGTGTACTTATGTACTTGTGTACTTGCCAGATATCTCTTCTCCTGAGATCAGGGGTTAAGAAGCCCCAGAATTGGTCCCGCCAATCACCAGCTCACGTGAGCCCCACCATATCAAGAAGAAAACCTTGGAACATTGGACTATAAAACATCGTATGTATTACTAGAAGAGACTTGGATATTTTGAAACTAGCTGTACATCTAATTAACCGTCTTGGACTTCTTCTTGGGACGCTCGTCCTCCTCATTGTCGCCCCCTCCATCGGAAGCATCGCCCATCTCCTCATCGCTATCACCACTGCTCTCGTGATCCGAGTCGAACTCCTCGGCCACATCAGATTCCGAAGAACCAGCAAAGTCTTCGTCAACTGACGACTCATCCTCATCGGCTGATCCGCGGTCAGGTCGTGCTTCGTCGTCACTGGAGCCCATGGCATCATTGTCAAGGGCAGCAGCAATAAGTCCAGCAGCCTAGGAAATAAATTAGCATTGGTATGAACGAACCAGGGAACCATAGTCCACATACCTCTTCGGCCATCTCGTTTTTGATGCGGATGTTCTTGGCCTTGAAAAAAGTCCTCGAGGGATTTTTGCTCCTCGCTGTTCATGTCAGAATATCGCCGGAAAGAAGGGGGTAAAAAAAAAAAAAACAAAACAAAACAAAAAAAAGCAAAAGAAAACGGGGTCCTTACCGGTTGATGTTGCTAAATTGGTGCTCACCCAATCCACCCTTCAGGCTAACAGTGATGTCGAAGGTTCGGCTGGCGGAAACAGCGCCTCCAACACGCGACATTGTGACAATCGCGATGTTCTCCATTTGAATGTAGGTCGCAGGCTTGGGAACAAACATAAGACTCTTATCCAAGAAGTACAGAAGACCCTCGTTGGCCTTGATTGAACACTTGACGCCTTGGTGCCCGTGGTGGCTATGGAAATGTTAGCAATGGGCCACGGGGGTGTTACAATAAATAGGCTGGTAGTTACTGACCTGGAGAAATCCTTGGAAGGCATAATGACCTTCTTTCCAGATAGGCCACGGAAGACCTTGGTGACGACTTGATGGATTGGTTCTTCGTAGTGCGACTGCAACCTGTCCTTGTATTGACTTTTCAAGATATCCCTAAAAGGTTGTTAGTGGATGAAGTAGACACAAGCGCAGGGAAACCGACTCTGTCATGTTCATTTCCAGGCTAATCTCTTCGTCAAGCTTCAGCTGCATAACCAGGAAAGGATAACGGGTCTGACCCTGTCGCAGAGGGGGATCAAGACCAAGCACAATAAGAGTGTGAGTATCGTCGTTCTTGGGAAGGAGGAAGAATTTCTTAATGGCCGAATATTGAATCTTGTAGTCGTATGTCTTTCCGCGCAACCGGAAGGATGATTCGTACATGTCAATATCGAAGCGACCTCTAGGGGTAAGGTGAAGAACATCCAGGAAAGTGGCAAATGTATCACCGGCGACGTCTCCAATCTCGGCCTTGTCCATAAGCGTCTCGTAAAAGAGATTGGCAGCATTCTGCTCCTCAACCTCCTCTTCGTTGTCTTCTTCCTCGCCCTCAGCGCCTTCGGCACCTTCCGCCTTCTCCTTCTTCGTGGCCGTTCCAGGAATGTAGAATCGCATTTCAACCAACTCGTCGGGGCCTGCGGCAGCCTTGCGGCCTCGGTTCTTTGTGCTTCCGGGCTTTGTCACGGCATCGTTTCCGTCGCCGGCGGGGAGGGAAAATTCAACGGCGACCTCGTTTCTTCCAGCCAGGTTGGTGTTTGAGATTTCGGAATAAGGGACCTCAAAGGCGGGTCGGTTTTGGACGTTAAAGGCCAACTCTGCTTTTGTGAATTCTGCCTTTCCCCAGTTCCATCCTCGCAAAGCGTGCTCGCGGGTCTCCACGTTGATGCCGTACCAAATCTTGAATGCTTTGCTCAGTCGCTCAAGGTCCTTTTGGGTTGTCAGTCTGTAGGTCAATAGTCGCAAAATCTTCGGTAGAGTATACCTCTTGATCAAATCCATCCAGTTGGATTACTCCAGATGATCGCGATAGGATCTTCAGCTCAAAGCCTTTCGCAGCGCGACTCCACTGGGCTGCGCCGATGTTGCTGCTATCGAGCGTGAAAGTATCGCCACCGCCAGACGGGCGCCAGCCCAGACCACTTTCAGCAAGCTTGCATTTTCCAGGCTGCTTTGAGAGGTCTAGGTAGATGTTGTCGAAGCTCTCCCTGTAGGATGGTCAGTGCCAGGCATGAGAAGCACTGCGAAAAATCTTACATGATGGAGCTTGTAGATGTAAGATCGCGGCAGTTAAAGGGATAAGTTGTAGAAATAAGAGGGTTCAAATGGCGAGAAAACAGATGAGAAAGGTAGGTGAGGGATGAGGGCAAGCTGGGTTGAAAGCTTTAAGATTTCGGTTTCTGGAGTTCGCGTTGCGGCGCGCCGTAGGGAGGCCACTTCAGCCAAAAAGCGTTTAGCGTTAATGCCTGAGGCAACAAGGAGCATGTTGAACATCTATGTATTCTCTGTTTGCTTTTTGGGTTGGTATCCTGAAGGGATCATTCAAGTTTCAATTTCTAAGCATTAGTCTTGAGCTTTTTTATTCAGATTCAATATAGAATAGTTGAGCTGAGCCTTGGAAGTCAATCACAATTTAAAATCATCACTCAACTGGCCGTTGCACTGGTAGTTGCTAGACGACCAAGTCATATTTTGTTGCAACCCATATCATATCATTTCACTCGTAGGCCCCTAGCCGACTCTCCCAATGTTGTTTATTTTAGGTGTTGACTGGATTGAGACGAAGAATACTACCAACACGCATTAAACAGGTAATCTTCTAGAATTTAGAGGTGTCAGATCTATGAAACACGCGCAATGTTCTTTCTTTCCCCCTCATGTAGACCTTAATGCCTCTGTATAACATAAACTTTATGAATTATGTACACCTATGAACCTCCAGGGCTGCAAACTATGTTGTAGGTAGACATATTACACTGCCTGATATACACACGGTATATTTTGATTATGTGGATTCTAAAGGAGCCAAATATTTACATACAACATATGCCCCGGAGGATTGCGTGTGTTCTACGCAGACCGAACCAGATCGTGGAGCCCGATTCTATATTTAAGCGAAACACCGCGGGGCTCTGGATCATTTCTGCGACAAAATCTCGGGATCCACTTGGTGGTTTAGCTCAACGCTGGTGTACGATGGAATCCTAAGACTATATTAATACATATCGATCTACGGAGTACGGAGTACCGATTCATCATATAGATAGCTAGGTAAGTACCCATGTACATTGTAGACACACATCGAAATAAATGACATCAACACTTTGATATATCAACAGGGTTAAAGGGGATGTGACTTCACAGGAGATAAGGGCAGTGCTAAACATTTTGTATGTACTCCGTATGTTGTACATCATCGTCATTACCGGCAAATTAGTCGTACGACGGTAGATCCTCATTCTACCGAGTCCCCCTTGCCCTAGTAATTGTAGGCAAGACTAGTAGATATTATCAATTTGAGGATTTGTTTGACAAACAGCAGAACCCTCAATTGCAGATACCTTTTCTCTTTCCACTAGTGGTACATGTTACTATCCTTGTCAACAACAAGACATTCAATATCACACCCACGGCCCATAGGTCCCCACTATTTAAACGGGAGGCTGGGAAGAGCCATTCCTATTGGTTGTCTGTGCGTCGTGAAGTGCATTAGCGTGATGGTCGCTGTATTTTTAATTTGGGACGTGTAATTTGAAGTATTACCATTTCAATTTCGAAAAACAAGCAAACTGGGTCTTCCCCTGGGTTCCCTTCATCTTCATATCCAGTCATTCGTTAATACTCAAATGCAGTGAGGCTTCGGTCTCGAGCATGATTCATTCATTTACATTCCTTCGCTTTTAAGTTCTCTTTTTTTATATGCCACATTCCTTATCACGTTCTTTTCTCCACGCGTTGCGGCCTGACGGCCTCCCTGAATTTCCTAGGCAGCACAACCCTGTCTAGTCTTCCCACACTCGCTTCACCCATTTCAACTGGTCAACTACACTTCTCTTGCCCGTCGTCGCTCCCACGACAATGAGGATCTCTTCATTGTTTGGGCCCGCGGCGGCCGGCTGGCCCTCGCTTCTTGCGCTTTTACCGACTCTCAACGCCCTGTCATTCGAGTCAGTCTCTGTTCCGGAACTGGACCTGACTTCGCTGGGACGGGTATCAATCACTGGTGATTTCGATGGTGTCTCTCTCTATCAGTATCAGGAACAGACCGAATCGATTCCTGATGGCACCCAAGCCCTTCTGACCCCACTACCCAACGGTATTCTCACAAATCTTTCGTCCGCCGATGCGCAAATCAAGGCAATGTGCCCTTTCACCCAAAAGGATGGAAAATTCGCGGGGATATTTGTCGGTGGTAACTTCACTAGCCTGGGCGGAGTGGATTCGCCCGGTGCTGCTCTCTTCGACCCGAATACCAGCAAAGTCACTGCCTTGCCGGGCCTTTCGGGCTCGGTAGCGGCTGTCACTTGCGATCAGGACACCAACCGGGTCTATGTTGGAGGAAAATTCACTCACGACAACACGACTAACGCCGTCGCGTGGGCGCCCGACGATGGCTGGACCGATCTCCCATTCAAGGGCCTGAATGGCCCTGTCAGCTCGATTTTGAAGGCTGATAATGGCCATATCATCTTTGGAGGATCAT